AGTCACTGAGTGTTAGCACTACCAGGGCATGTCCATTACAAAGCCCAACTGTCTCCTTTTCTTCAGGAGTAAACTGGGACGCAAAGAGGATGTGAGTTTTTCCTTTGAATTGTTACCGTGACCTGGAGGAGCTTTTAAGAAATGCGGAAGCCCAGCTGCCACGCTTCAGGGTTCTACTTCTACTGACTCGGGCACAGCATTTTTGTCAGCTCTCCTGACAAGGCTGATAAATCACGGACGCAGAGGCTGGAGTCCACTACCCTTTAGTCTGAAGGACTTCCTGGGTCCTCCCGGGCATAGGTGACGAGGTACCCTAGCCTGTGTGGGGGATGAAAGGCTTCCACTCACCCTGCCCCTCCCCGCCCTCCAAGAACCTGGCTCCCTGGAGTCCAGTGGGAATGTGTGGCTGCTCCAAGATCCCCGAAGAAAGTTCATTAAAATGCCTGCCTGGAAGGCGGTTTCAGAGGCCAATACCCACGTGTGAAAGTGAACACAGGAGGCTCAGCTTTAATCAGAAGCGAGCTCCCCAGCGATTGTTGGAGGGTGCCTGGGGGATGAGGTGGGAGGTGGGAACATGGGAACCCCCCAGGAGAGGCATGAGGGAGGGAGAGCACACAATCATCTCATTTGCCTAGTCCCTCTCCCAGGGATAATAATTCATCATCTCTTTTTCCTTCTCTCGGGACAAGCACATGGCCGGTGACCTGTGCTTTCTCATTTATGTTAATCTCCTCCTCGGAAGAGAGCATTCCAGAGGCGCCATTCTCCTGGGCTGCACAGGATGGCAACCCAGCCCCGCCGACCCCCGCCCTGCCTGCTGCCCCACCTACAACCTTCCTCTTCTCTAATTTGTTCTGTTTCTCCTCACCTGCCCGCTCAGACTCCTCTGAACAGTAGTGCAGGTTGTACACTGTGCAAACCTGTGTCCCCAGGAAGACGCTGTGTTACCCCTGCCATGCTCAAGTCCCCCTCCAAAGATCCCTTCTCAACGTCATTTCCTGCAAGCTTCTCTTTGCTAAATTCCTCAGGAGGGAAAACTGGCCTCCGTAGGGCTGATCCACATCCATCACCTTTGGCAGGGTGGGGCAGAGCCAAGGCCAGGTGTGCTCCACTCAGGAAAATCAAGGGGCCTTCTTTCCCAGTGAGCTGGCCCAAAGAGCTCACAGACCCAGAAACTCTTGCTCATCACAGTTTTGCTGTGCCAGATGTAAATTGTTCTCTAGGTTCACCCAAAGGCCATCAAAGCTATTTCATAAATAAGCTTAGGTCTTACCTTTGTGTTTTCCCCTTAACCTAGCAGGCCCCTCCCTGAGCACTATTTTACTGGAACTACATAAATATACCCCTACAGCACCCTGCACAACTCATAGCCTCAAGCATTTTTTGAAAGCTAACTTGTTTAATCTTCATAACCCGTCCCCCCCCCCACCATGATATAGGTAGTGACCGATTTTATGAAGAAAAAAACAAATCTCAGGCTGGGGTCACAGCACTGTGGGAGAGCTGTATTTGCGCCATGGCCTGCTGGTTCCAAAGCTTTCGTCCTTCATCCCTAAACCCCCAAGGTCTCTGCTTCCCCTGTCCCATCCCTCCACCCCTCCTTCTCTGCACCCCACCCCCCACATTCTGGCCTCACGCCTCAGGCCCTAGTGACAGCTGCAACAACCTGCCTTCCTGCCCTGATTCTGTCTGACATTTGTCTTCCTGCTCGGCTTCAAGTCTCTCTCAGTACATTGCTGTCCAGCCAGACCGGGACCCAAGCATTTAGAACCAATGCCGCAGGGCTGACATTCTTGTTGGGTGTGTTCTACACAGAACACATTCTTGCCTATCTCCCAGTCAGCCACCACAAGGGAGCCCTGGGTCCACCATCCATCCTGCTTGAACCTAGCTACCTTCACACAACAACATCATCGTCCAACAAGACATCGTCATCAGGGACGGCCACACTACCATAAGTCCCCCCTGATTCCCTGACCCTCTCCACCCCAAAGCCTCAAACCCCCACCGCTTCTGCCTCCACCCAGCCCATGGGACCAACATGGGGAATTGTCCCGTGATCACCTGTACGCACACACCATCCAGGCGTTTCTGTTGTCTGGTTATCTTCGGAAACCCTGGAAGGGGAGGAGGGGACTTGAAAACTTCTCTGCTTCCATTTTGGAAAAAGAACGGCAGAATATTTGCTTCACTACCTTATCTTTAAAGAAACCTGACAGGGAAAAGGCAGGCAGATAAGATCTATGACTTCATCAGCTTGTTCTCTGAAGTTGTTTCAGGCTTCCCCACCCCCGACAGGCCCCTTAATTTCCTGTTTTCAGTATCTAATGGCAAGAATACAGGCAGAGATACTCGGTGATCCTGGGGGTCAGTGCAGAAAGCTGGCCAGAGAGGAAGCTTTTAAGATCCAGCCTGGAATGTGGCCACAAGTCAGGAGCACATCTTCTTAATTTGGGTTTTATTTTTACTTCAACTCTGTGGTCAGTGGCTCTGGATGGTTTGTGGTCTCAGAACAGCTGCTGGCTTGAGATGCCTTCAATACAATTTGAGCACTCACAAGATTCCAAATGAAAAAGGAGAGAAAAAATTGAGCATTTCATAACAGGAATTCTTGACAACCTTTTTCTTTCAAGATGCTCCAAATGCCTTGCAGACGTTCTTGCGTCAGCTCTTGCCGCCTCCCACGGTGGAGGCCAAGGATCTGGTACCATCTGAATCATTTTATGGAGGGGAAAACAGAGACACCCACTTGTTCCTGCTTACACAGCAAGTCGGCATAACATTGTGACAGGTGTTTTCCCCGGGCCCCAACCAGCTTAGGGTGGAGAGAGAGAGTGTGTAATATGGGTCACAATTACAGTGTCAAGAGCAAGGAAAACCAACTATCTTTGCCTCTGGCCCCCTGCCATAGAGGTGCATTCCCTGGAATCCTAGTCAGCTTCATCTCTTCTATCACTGGAGGGTCCTTGGGTGGGCGCGGGGTCTGTTGCCATGGTAACACTACTAGCCGCTCTGCTCAGTCAGGAAATGGGATCCCCTGCAGGGGGCTTCACACAGAGCCATCCACTATCGGAGGGGCTGAGTGCGTGGTGTCACCACCGTCTATTGAACTTTCAGGGCCCCTCAGCAGGGCATCCCTTCCTCATGCTCACACCCGTTACTACTCAGGCCAGAGAGCAGACCTACCACCTGCTGCGGAGGGCTGGCCCTCTCTGGTGTGGGTCTGGGGCCCATTCTCAAGGTCAAATGTTGGCAAGCCTGATCTGGGGAGGTGCTATTCTTTGGGGTGGGAGAGGCTATACGAGAGTTGCCCTCAGAATCTTGTCCATCTCCCCTGGCCCTTACCACTTTTGTGAATGCCATCCAACTTCCAACCGCCATGCTTTCAGTTCCTTTGCCTCAGGGCTTTCTTCAACCAAGAAGTGTCTTTTGCTTGCTGCTGTTGAAAGTGTCAGAAGTGCTAGAATATTAACACCCTCCTAGTGCCCTCATAAGCAACCCTTCACCACTGAGGACAGGACTGGGTCTATCAATGCCCTGGCTCCCTGCCCTCGGCGGGTGTACGCTGAGGCCTGTATTCTACCTGAGCTTGTGAAGTGCACACACATGAAAAAAATACAGTGGAAGAAAAATGATCTCTGCCTTGTGAGCCTCAAGAGCAAGGAGTAGAATAAAACTGAGGAGGGATTTTGTACCTGTGAGGTAGAATATTTGTAGCAAGCTGTGCCCTCTTTCAGGAACGTGAGATAGGAGTGGGGTAGTGACAGAACTGCACCAAGATGGCAACTGAGTGCCCACAGAGGCAGGGAAGGGGCATGTTCAAGATGCCAGGTGTGTGAGAACTTCTGTGAGACTCCAGCCTTAATCCATGACGTACTGTGATGTCGCAGCCCCCCAGATGAGGTACGAAGTCCTCCCTGCAGCTCTGGAAGAAGTGAAAGTCTTTTTCTTTCTTTTGAGCACGAGTTACCCCTTCTCCACTGTTTGACAGGCAATAAAGCTCTTGGTTTGTTAAATAGGACCCAATTTCTGAATTCTTGGCTTCGGTCCCCAGCAAATGGACCTTGGGCTTAAGGGGCTGCTAACATGTGAAAGTATCCCTTCACAAATGGGGTCGAGACTGGGGAATTGTCTGACTCTTTCCTAAGCTGTTTGCGCCTTCCTTGTATGATTCCATGATTCGTAAAGCTTCGCCGTTCACCTACCCTTAGCCACAAGGTTCTGTGAGGTCTTGTACCAGTGTTTCCCCCTTGTATCCCAGGTCAGAGTGGCGCGGTCCCCTGGATTTGTCATCTGCCTGTTGGAGGGACAACATTCTAGGCGAAGCAGGAACCTGAAGGCAGCTTTCTGGATCGATGCTCCAAGGGATTTTTCGAGAACAAGAGTGTAGACATAAACTTGGCTTTTGTTCTGGACTTTTCTTCTTTATAATACAACAGTCCGTTACCTAAAGTAGTGTCCTCAAAGGCCACTGCCAAGGTGGGTCATTTAATCCGTGCCTGGAGCACACTCTCCCACTGGGGCAAAGCTGTTCGTGATCAACGCTTCTGTCAATCAGACCCCTGGTAGGGTGATGCCAAAGATCAAAGAACCTACCTCTCTCAGTGCAGAAAGAAGCCACCCCATGGCCAGGGTGTAAGTGGTGGCAAGACAGGAAGCCAGGGGGCAGGGCGCCCCCCTGCCTCCGGGTAGTCTGTATTCACTCCTGCCTTGGCTTAGAATTCTGTTCCTCCAACAGCCATGACCCCACACTTCCTTCATTAATTTACTCAACTGTCACCCTCGGAGAGACCTTTTTTTTTTTTTAAAGATTTATTTATTTATTCATATAGAACTGGGGTATAGGCCAGAGATGCGGAGGGTGAGAGGATTCACCAGAGACAGAGAGGGGAGCAGAACAGGCAGATCGACGAAGTACACTGCTGAGGGGAGCAGCGGGCGGGTCAGGAGAGGTCTGCCGCGCCATGTGGTCGCCTCCGGGGCAGGTGGGGATCGAACTCATGTGGAAGTGGCTTAAGCTTCTTAGTGCTGTGCTTTAACCTGCTGTGCCACCAGGGAGGGCCCCGGAGAGACCTTTTAAACCACCGTCTAAAGTAACCTCTGTTACCTGAATTTTCTTTTCTCATTTATCACAGCAGAGTGACATGTGATAAACTTTTTTATTGCACCCACAGTTGCTCCCACCACTAGAATATAAGCTTCTTTGGGATAGAGATTTTTTCCCCTCTTTTTTATCCACCACTCCAGTCCTAGCACCTAGAACATTGCCAGCACTTTCTAGAATCTCATATAAATACCACTAAAATGAATGAACAAATGGATGAATGAATGAAACAGACAACAGTTACCTTGACCAGAGGTAACACATTCAGTCAAGTGGGGGCTGAGGGAGAGTGGGGCCCCAAGCCCAACTGGCTCTGTGGCCTCTGGTCCATTTCTCTCCCCTGCACTGGGCTGATTAAATCTCTGAGTAACATGGGACTCATAAAGCAGAAAACAAGGAGAAGAGGGACGAGTTCTCAGTGGAGAGAGGACATCTCCTCCTCTCTCCCTCCCTCCCTGCCTACTTCTTCCCTTCTGTCTCATCCCAAGAAGCTTCTTAGGAAGAAAGCCCTCCCCAGTCTCTCCCCAGAAACCACACTCTGAACACTCGGATGCACAATCAACCAATTGTTAAGTCCTCGACAATACCTCATCAGCGAGCACAGCACTATAATTAAAAGTAAATCCAGCTCAAGCTTTTTAAAATAGGATCTAATTTAATTGGTGCGTTTAATCTATCACTGTCACTCCACGCCAACCAGGGGGAGCATGTCATCGCAGCGGTAGGTGGCGAGAGACTTAAGCAGGCCCCTCAGCAGGGTCTCGGGGCTGCCCCAGGCCTTGTGAACAGCTGGGAAGGGACAAGCAGCAGCATGCCTGGCAAAGGGAGACTACACAGAGGTCCGGAACCACTGAGGAACCAACTGAAACTGGGTCTGGCTGCCTGAGCCTATGTCCTGCCACCCATCACTTCGCCTCAAGCGCCTCGGTAGGGGGCTTCGGCATCACCTCATCCTTCTCTCCAACCTCCTCCAAAACAAATCTCAGGGCACTTTGTGGAGAAACCCAAGGGAATTCATTAAGGTAGCATTCAAAAGTTTGATGACTGGGGGGTAAGCCACCTGCCAGGGGGCCACTGTGTCTCCACTTAGCGTCAGCATTTGATTCAAACCCACCTTAGAAAAACAAACAAAACCAGCTCATCTTTTCTGATGACTATCACATGAAACATGGCAGTAGAACAGTCATTAGTGTTGTGATGAGAATCTTAAAAATCTTACAGAAATGGATTCTAATCCCGAATCAACCATTTACTGACTTGGTGAATTTTAGAATGTATTTGAACCCCCCTGCGCCTTCATTTCTTCATAAATTGGGGGTAACCCCTATTTCATATTTTTATGCTGAGGCTCAAGAGCTGCTGTTGCAATGGCAACTTGGTTGCCACTTTGCAGCAGGACTCCAATGAGGGACACAGCAGTAGTGAGCAGGTTTGCAAGGCGAGACTCTGCTGCTTGAGCAGATGCCCTTGATCCATTTATTGAAAGCCTACGGGCTGGTAAGTCTGATCACGTAACAGTGGGATGAGGAATAAGGTCTGGAGGGTGGGATAGGAATGGGGGACAAAGTTTTACAAGCGACAGGGAAAGGGACATCATGACCATCGTCAAGAGACATTTGCATCAGCGAAGTCTGATGTCATCACAGGCAGAGTTATCCCGGGACCGCCAAGGAGATAGTCACACAATCAGGTCAACAGCAGCCTGGGCGTCCCCGGGCCTGCCTCGTGACACTGGTCCACCCCCTCACGGTGCTTTCTGGATCACATCCCAAATGAACTCAAATCCTTGTCTCAGGGTCTACTTTGGGGGATTCCAAATCCAGACATTGGCATGACTCAAGCTCCTAATAAATAGCTCGGAATTACCAATATAGTCTCCAGAGCGTTGCAATACAGCTGTGGCGCTCCCATGTCTACACTTTGCCTGTGAATGGGCGGTCTATTTAGAAAATTCCTTTGATGCCCTTCAGGAAATATTCCTTTCCCAAAGTACAGGACACAAGTCAGCCTATATTCAGAAAGATTGCTCACTTAATGTCAGCATCCCCAAGACTCCTTGTACTCCAATGCAAAGGTCGACTTCGGGACAAGTGGGTCATGCTAACTCCTTAGGAATATTGGTGAGTGTTATGGTTTGAATTGTGTTCCTCCTCCAAAAAAATACAGCCCAACCTCCAGTACTTCTAAATATGACCTCATTTTGAAACAGGTTATTCGCAGATGATCAGGTTAAGATGAGGTCCTCGATGTGGGCCTTAATCCAGGACAAACTGATGTCCTTATAAAAAGGGAGATTTTGACAAAGTGATAGAAACAGAGAAGGAGAACACATGTGGAGGGTGGCGAGATGCTGCCCCAAGTCAAGGAGTCATCAGACATAGGGTGAGAGATCTGGAATCTTCCCCAACACCTTCAGAAGGAGCATGGCCCTGCCACCCCTTGACTTTGGACTTCCAGCCTTGGAAGCTGGGAGACACGTGTTTATGTCAGCCACCTCAGCCACTTGCTTTGTGGCACTAGCTTGTGACAGCCCTATCAGACTACTATTGAGGGTTATTTCTGTACAGGCCTTTGTGTGGGGTGGCAGGCACAGTGCCTGGACCGCAGGTGGGATTGCTGGCCTTTTTCTGTATGACTCTATGGAGTCCTGGATAAGATCAGGCCTTAGCATCTATAGCCCAGACTAAGCTTTTCTCCAGGGTCTTCCCACATTCCTCTTCTTAGCCCTTTGTTCCCAGAGATGTGCTGTCTCCCCTTCCCATTGCTCTGTGGCTACCACAGTTCCAGTACAGCTCCATGGAAATCTGCAACAGCTGCCCTCCCTAGGCCCTTCTTAAATATTCACTCAGACTTTCCCCTTGATCACCAGCAACACTCCATTTACCACCAAGTCAGTGGTTCATAACAGACAAAGCTGTATCCCTCTCAGAAGTATGTGCTCACCGGAAGAAGACTGACACCCCAAAATAATCCTCTAGGGGTAGGAAGACTGACACCCCACAATAATCTTCTGAGTGATCTTGAGGTCACTCAGCAGCGAGGGAAAATGCTCCTCAAACTCCCTGCTCTCAATGCCAACCTCACCTACTATCATCGCTGATCTGGTCAATTGGGGGGACCTCCCCAGGCCCACCCAGTGAAACTCTACCCTGCCCTGAGCCTTGGAAGCTGGACATCTGTGGGAGGCAAAAGCTGAGCAGTCCTGTCACCCCGCTTCTGACGGGTCTGACCAATGTCCGTCTCCGACCAGAGCTCAGAGCGTCAGCGGGCAGAGACTGGACTATTTGTTGTCCTGGCTTCATCAGCCTTCCCACCAGAGAGAAGCTGGTTCTGGCATCTTTCCTTGGCCTAAGCCTCCAGCTCCTGTTCAGTAGCTCTCTTCTGTAGCCATGGGACCTTTACTCCTTTTGACAGTGCCATCTGTTTCCTGCCCAGGGCCTGACTGAGACACCTCCTGATCTTGATCTTTGGGCTCCAATTTCACCTGCCACCATCCAGTCCATACCCCAAACTGTCTCAGAGTGAATTTTCTAAAGGCTCCAAACTTGTCCCTCCTTAAGCATGCGAGGCCTACGTTGCTTCCCGGGGGCTGCACTGTAGACGTCTTCCTCTGGTATGTTCAACGTCCTGCACAATCTGGCCCCAGCTTACAATCTGGCCACATCTCCTACTGCTTCCTGTAAAGCAGCCAAAGCCTTGGCCGTGCCAGGCGGCCCGCGCTTCACTGCACACGCCTTGCACGTTTGAGGCTCGCCCCTGCATTCCCTGAAGTTCATTGCTCCTCCTTCTCCTGAGGAACGTGCTTCCTCCCAGGCTCAGCCCAAATATCTTCTCCTGGAAGATGTCACTAATCTTTCAACTCTCCCAGCCCAGAGCAAGTTGCAAGCCCCCGCGTGGTCTGTATGTATCTTTCTCCGAGTCAGGCCTATCCCTGCAGCTAATGGCCTGACCGCTAGCCAGCTTGTATTTCCCATAAGGTGGTACATCTTGGAAGGCAGAGGATCAGGACAATGCCATCTCACCACCTGCAGCAGGCCCTGTCCATACCCATTCTGTATCCCCTTGGTCTTTATTGCCTTGGCCATCTGACTTACCTGTGGCCATGGTGGGAAATTTCCAATTACTGGCAATTTCCTAGCTCATAGGCCCGCCTCTCTCCACTTCCGGCTCTCAGGGTTTCTCCAGCAACTTAGGAGCTTGCTCTGCTGCAGGAAAGCACCAGCCTGAAATGCAGGAGAGGGAATCCCCTGGGGCCAAGGAGTTAAAGACCCTAAGGATGACAGTTGGTGGATTGATGCCCCAGGCTTCCTGGCCTGTGAGGGAGGATTCTCTGCAGGTTCTACACTGTGTCTCAGAGTGTCCTCAGGGAAAGTGCGCCCCAATTGCCCACAGCAGCAACTTGCTCATTAAAACGCCTGTCATTGGCTTTTCTTCCTCCCCTGTCTCACTTTTTTCACTCCCTCATTTGGGCCTCCCAGGTATTCTCCTGGATAAGCCATCTGCATCTCAGGCCTTGTCTCTGAGTTTGCTTTGGGAGGGGACCCCAAACTAAGACAGGACTTCATTGCCACACAGATCCTTGCACACAGCAGCTGCCCCCCAAATGTTACAACAGTCGGAGGTCAGGGACACAAAGTCTACCGGCCTGGTTTGGCCACATGAAGACCCAACTGGTATTCAGCAACAGTGTTGTTTCGAGGTGTCAGGGGCCCTCCTCGCTGGGAAGGTGCCACCCACATCTGCAGGGGTAGCTCAAGCCTCCCCCCAGGCAAGCTGCCTCCTGGGGAGACCAGCTCAGACAGGCAGTTCTGATTATGTATGCAAACGCAGGCCTGGCCCTGCCACTTCTGTGAGAGCCACAGAGCTCAGCTAAGCCACCCTGGAGAAAGAATCTTACAAAGAATACTAAAGAGCATCCAAGTGTGAAGAATGAAATACATGCGAGTTTTCTCTTTAAAAAATAGAAATCAAATTGTATTTTCATCTTGGCTTTCTCACAAGTCAGCAGCCCACAAATAGCCTTAAAAAGCAAAAGAAGACTTTATCCAGATTTCTGATCTGGGTTGAGACCAACCATTACCTTCATCAAAGTGAACCTCACTGACTAACATGTCTGTTTCTGAAGATGGTTTGCACCCCAAGGAGAGAGTGGGAGGGGTTGGGCCGGTGGGGTTCGTTCTCATCTCTACCTGCACAGAGAGCGCATTAGATTCAAGCCCCATGGAGCCCATTGGACCCATTGAGACAACCTACGTCTTGGAAATGAAGACCACACTGCAGCCTAAAAGAACAGTGCATACAAAAACTTGGTACAGTTGAAGGAACCACAATTTACCTAACTTCTGGGGGGGGGGTCTCAGTGATGGAGGGGAAAGAACTAAGAAAGGAAGTGTAGACACAATCACAGAAGAGACTGTGTGTCTTGCCATGGAGGTGGTACATGGACAATATTGGCAGAAATAAATTTAAGAAATTTGAGGAAGAGGATTAGAATGGCCTGGGTCAGAGCAGTATGGAAAAGTCAGGAGAGTCTGACTCCAAGATTAGCACTTGGAGCTAACAGATGAAAAACAAGGCCCATTCACTGAGCCAGTGGATCCAAGAGACAGAGGTGAAAGAACTATTTGGGTGGTAATGCCATGGCAGGCTGAAGAGCTCCGTTGGGGTCCTATGGGCTCAACATCCAGGGAGGAGACTTTCAGGTGGAGAGGTCCTGTGAACAGCTGGATGAACTGTCTTAGAGGAGATGTGGATTTTGTAGTCACCCACATGTGGATGGGAACTGAAACCACACAATCATTTGAGTTCCTCTAAGGATATGGTGGAATACTCCAAGAGGTCGGAGGAGAGCAGGAGATGATAGAAGGGCAGTCTGAGGAGGCTCCATCCATTGGCCAACAGTCAAGTTCTGCATAGATGCTCGAAAAGTCGAGATGAAGCGTGAGCCCCCACTTCCTACCATGTCGGTGAGTTCTTGGCTTGGTGCTTGGAGTTCCACATGTACCTGTCAACTGTTGGGGAGAGGAGAGTTTATTGAGCAGTTTATTGGCTGCCCAGACCCTTTGTCTGCTCTTTGAGTCATTTCACAGTTTATCAGCCCTTCAACCAAAGGCTGGACAAGGGAAATAAACTTTCCCCAGTCAATTTTATGACATAATCTATCAGTTCTTTGGAAAGATTTAGCAGAGAAATAATTCCAAATGATTAGTTGGTTTCTGTTTGTGGTTGTGTTATCTATGAATTTCATTGTTCAAGCTTGGGCTGGTGGGCTTCCTTAGAGTTAGTGGTCCCTTCCCTCTCAATATATACACAAAAGAGTATCACACCAATAAAAGGGAGACATATTTTTTTAACCTAGTAGGGAAAGCATAAGGAAATAGAAGTGTATGTTTAGCAAGCCTCTGAGGAAAGGGGAACTTCCTACATGTTGAAATGATAGAATAGACCAGCGAGGAAAAAGGCCAACCAATTTAACTTTGTATATAAAAATATTTGTTTGCATATAAATCATATATATGCACGCAATATTTATAAAATACTTGCAGCAAATCCCTTCCTCGTGTAGAGGGAAGGGAAGACAAACCCTGGAAGCTAATATTTCAGTGGCGAAGAGCACGAGCAGATAATTCACCGAAGAGAAAACACAACTAACTCACCAACATTTAGAAGAGTGTCATGCCTCATTAGTAAGGAAATAATTGCAAATTAAAATAATGAGGTGCCATTTTTCCCCAATAAAATTGCCTCAAAACTTACCTAGTGCTCTTGAGGGTTTGGTGAAATTGTTGCTGATGACGTCAATTATTGCAGCTACGTTGGGAAGACATTTGGTAAATACGAATGAAGATCCATAAAAATGTCCATATGCCTAGACTCAGCAATTCCACTTGTATCCAAAGGAATCTAATCTAAGGAAATGGTCAGAAACTGTATGCATGGGGGAAACACTTTATCCTTGGAAAAACGTAAGCATGCTAATGCAGCAAAATTACAAATTCCAACATCTAAACTTCAGGCTACAAGGTGCTGATAGACTAAATTGTGGGGTATTTACTGATGAGACATTTTGAATCTGTTACAAAATGAAGACCAAGAAGGTAGAATGGTATGTGGAAAAAGGAACATCACTTAAAGCTAACTGGAAAGATTAGCTTTAACTAACTGGGGAGATTTTCTCAAAGCAGGGGATATGATAATCACATAGACTTCCACTCACAATCACACACGTAAATTGAAACGTATAAAAAGGCAAGATGAGAGCCCTCCCTGGTGGCGCAGCAGGTTAAAACACTGTACTAAGAAGCTTAAGCCCCTTCCGCATGAGTTCAATCCCCGCCTGCCCCGGAGGTGATCCACATGGCGAGGCAGACCTCTCCTGACCCGCCCGCTGCTCCCCTCAGCAGTGTACTTCAGTTGATCTGCCTGTCCTGCTCCCCACTCTGTCTCTGGCCTGTATGAATAAATAAATAAATCTTTAAAAAAAAAAAAGGCAAGATGAAAACATACCCAAACGATACAGCCCAATGTAGCTTTGGGAGATGATGTTTCTTCCTTTCCCACTTTCCCATACATCATAATGACGAGTAGGAGTAGCTGGGTTTGGGGATCAAATAATGTTGGCTTCAAATCCTAGTTTTAGCATTAACGGTGTCATCTTGAACAAGTTATTTAAATCTGAACTATAAGATTCAGCTGTACACTGAGAATTTCAACAATTATCTCAAAAGAGAGCTACAGAATTAAGTAGAATGATGTGGAAACACATTCACCATTGTGCCTAGAACGCAGTAAATGACCAGAAAGTGGGAAAGCTTATTATTGGAGTTATGATTTAGCTAATATAAAAAAACTGTATTTTTAGAAACTTGTTGAGCCCCATGGACTGGGAAACAAAATTGTCCTTTATTTCCTGCCTCCCTTCACCAACCACCACCAAGAAAGATTGCCAGATTTCATTTAAAAGGTAAAATAATGATTGCTTTAGTTCATGTATATGAACTTCCTCATTATTCTAGTTTGGTTTTCTTTCAAGTTGCTTTTATGTCACCACCACCAGGCAGGATGTGCCAGGTGACAAGACTGTGGGGAGCTTTCCATGGAAATAAGTGCCCCCATTTCATATACCAACATGCTAGATCTCAGGAGTGTCAAGGGATTGGGCCCCCCACTCTGCCCAGGACTCCTTGGTGCCTTCATCCTGGGGGACTCATTTCCTGTTCTCCATACTCTGAACTTTTCTTTCTCCCTCCGTTGTGTGTTAGCAGCTGCCAGGGATTTTCTGGGACACCCTAACTGGAAATCCTAGGAACACAGGCTTCAGAGGACCTGCAGGAGGTTGAGTGTGTGTGTGTATGTGTGTGTGTGTCTTGAGTGGGTGGGGACGGGTGGGGACTTCAGGAGAAACATCAACTAGGGAGCAGGTGAAGACAGAACTGGAGGAGAGAGTGAAGAGCTGCAGCAAATTGTGTTGGATGAAAGAACACCTCCTCTCTCGTCAAGACATGTGAAACCTGGGAGCTTGGGTTTCCCTCTTGACACTATTTTCTTTCCTCCTACTCCTTCACCCCTGCTGTGTCAGCAGGACTTCTAGGCTCTCTCCCTTCCCCTCTACTCACCACACACACTTTTCTTCTCAGACTGGTTTGGACCCTGCCAGCTACCATTAGCTTTGTGATCTTGTTACCATCTTTGGTAGTCTTCCCCCTGGCCCTCCCCAATCCCAGCTCTATTTCTCATTCCAAGTACCAATAACACTGTTGGGGAATACAACACAAAGGTATCCAAGAAGGAGACGATAAACTGGTCTTACTCCATCTCATTGGAACTATTGGTAAGGAGTGGTCATCTCTCACTGGCCTAGGACTCCCCATCTCCCCACTAGACTGCTCCCCTAACATACAGCCACACATTGCTGTCATTCCTTTTCCCTCTTCAACCTCACAGCCCCACATCCAGCTCTGCTAAGGTCCAAGTCAATGCCTGATGGTTCCAGCCTCTAGCCTTGGAGTATTCCTGGTGAGGCCCTGACATTGTGGAGCAGAGGCAGTCTCTCTGCTGTGCCCTGTTCGAAACAGTCAGAGATAATAAGATGATTGTTGTTGTTTTAAGGTGCTACATTTTGTGATGATGGAATAGTAACTAGAATAGATTCCAACAATCATCACACCTAGTGACATCTCTGTGGTAGTCATCCCAGCAGACTTAGCATTCACATGAAACTATTCCTTTCTCTTCAAGACCCTCTCTTGCATGGCTAGAAGAGACTAAGAAGATGTGAGTAAATACAGAATGGGATCATGTCCAGTCATTCTAATTCTGGGGTGGGGGGGACAATGAGGGGAGGAGACTGACCCAGCTATTACCCTAACCTGACTGAGGCCTGACTGGACAGGCTGAAGTGACACGGCCATGCTCCCAGCCGCGCTCCGCCAACAATCTCTGCCTGCTCTGAAGGGCCCCCTACCCATCAGCATGGGCAGCCCAGCCCCGCAAGGAGGGCAAGACTCAGCGCAGGGGATCAGCCTGTCACTGCAGAGCCTGGTTGTGACCACTCAGACTGAGCGCCACTCACTCGTCTGTGGTTCAGCAGATGTCACATCTACCGTCTTTTGACCTGGCCCAGCCATGACTGTCAGTGAACATTGAGCTAGGGCCTGCTCTGCTCACAGCCAGACCCCTCTGTTAGCCGGTGGAGCTGGAAAATCTATCCTGGGTGGCATGAGCTAATGTCTCGTGTGTGCCAGGCCCTGTGCTAGAAGCTTCACAGACATTTCCTCCTTGCAGGCACGGGAATGTGGTTGTCAGGATGATGGCCCCCAAAGATGTCTGCATCTTAATCCTGGGAAGAATTGAGTGGGTTACACAGAGCCCGTCCTGACCATCCAGGCTAATCTCCCCATCTCAAATTTCTCAACTAAATCCCAGCTGCAAAGTCCTTTTGCCATATCAAGATATATATAATGGAATACTAGTCATGATGAAATATTGTCATGTGTGACATGCATGGACCTTGAAGGCATTATGCTAAGTGAAATAAGTCAGAAAGAGAAAGAAATACCACATGGCATCACTCATTTGAGGAATATAAAGGGGAAAAAAAGGAATTGAACAAATAAAACAAAAACAAACCCTGAAACTGACAGCAGAATAGAGGTTGGCAGAGTAGACGGAGTGGGGAGGGAACATGCAGAGGGCTGATCGGTGCTGGATGCTGACTGACGTCTGCTGGTGGGCATGGGGTGACATACACAGTTGCTGAGGTGGGAAGTATATACCTGAAACTTACACAGTGCTGTAAACTAATGTTACCTCAAAAATTGCAAGGAAAAAAATGAGATCATGGATTAGATCCTGGAACAGAAAAGAAGTATGTTAGTGGAAAAGCTGGTGAGCTTTGAATGCAGTCTGTAATTTTGTTAATAGCAGAGTGCCTACATTAATTTTCTGGGTTTTCTAAGTGTAGTGTGATCATGTAAGTCATTAAAATTATGGAAAATTGGGTGAAGGAAATATGAGAATGTTGCACTATTTTTGCAACTTTTCGGTGAGTCGAAAATTATTTCAAAACAGAAAGTTAAATGATAACAAAAATAGCACACAAAATAATGACAATATTTATGAAAACATTCTCTTACTTGGCATCTGAGATTCAGTTTCCTTGTTTCCTCTTTTACTGATGACTCTTTCTCAGACTCCACTGGTAAAGAGTTCCCTAGTGCTCCCCATAGGGACTATTTTGTCCTTCTGCTCTTTTTACACAACCCTAATGCTCACACCCACATCTGTCACCTGAAGGGCACCTCTTCTGAGCTCCAGCCTGAATACCTGCCTGCCACCAGCATTTCAGGCCCACCTGGATGTAGCTCAGCGAGACATAGCTGATGACTCTTCTCCCCTCTCATCCTCTGACTGCACCATCTGGTTCCTCCTGCTAGGTCTCCATTTCAGCAAGTGACCTTACCATCAATTCTCTGATCCCTGGTAGAAACATCCAATGCAAATGACCCAAGCA